TTCTCTGCATAGAACTTCAAGAATTATATGGAATAGGAGTGGTGAAAAGTGGACATCCTTGTCTTATTTGTGATTTTAGAGAAAATGTTTCAGTTTTTCTTCATTTTTGTATGATGTTGATCTTGGATTTGTCACAATAGCCTTCATGCAGTTGAGGTGAGTTCCTTCAAACACTAGTTTCTTGGTGTTTTTAATATGAACAGTTGCTGGATTTTGTTCAAGGCTTTTTTCTGCCCATATTGAGATGTTCATTCCCTTCCTGTTTTTAATTCTATTTATGTGCTGAATTACATTTGCTGATTTGTATATGTTGAACCAACTTGCATCCCTGAGATACAAGCATCTTGTCTATGTGGTATGGTCCTCCTAATGTGATTTTTAAATTTTTTAATACCTTTTTTATTTATTTATTTTTGTGGTGCTGAGGATCGAACCCAGGGCCTCATACATTCGAGGCAAATGCTCTGCCACTGAGCCACAATCTCAGGCCCTCTTAATGTGTTTTTGAACACAGGTTGCTAATGTTGTGTTTAGGATTTTGGCATCAGGGATATATTTTATTAAGGACATTGTGTTAATAAAGGATATTGTTCTGAGGTTTTCTCTCCTTGTTGTCTTTGTTTGGTTTAGGCATCAGGTGACAGGGCTTCATAGCATGAATTTGAGAGTGTTAAATCCTCTCTTTCTATTTCATGGACTAATTTATGGGAGATCAACATAATTTCTTCTTCTTAAATCTGGTAAAGTTGGCTGAGAATCCATCTGGTCCTGAAAAAAAATTTTTTGGTCAGATTTTTTTTCAATCTAATTGCTTAATATTGTTCTGTTTAGGTTTTCTTCATTTTCTTCGTTTGTTTTGGGTAGGTCACATTTGTCTAAGAATTTGAAAGTATTTTGTTGGTTTTCCAGTTTATTGGAGTATAAATTTTTAAAACATTCCTAAAGATCTCCCAGATTATCAGAAGAATCATTGGTGATATTTCCTTTCTCATCTCTTTTTAATAATTTAACTCTTCTCTCTCTTTTGGTTAGTTTTGATAAGGGCTTATGAATCCTGTTTATCTCTTTAAAGAGCCAACTCTTTGTTTCATGAATCTTTATATTTTTATTCTCAATTTCACTAATTTTGGCTCTAAAATATTTTCTGTATTCTACAGATTTGGACACTAACTTGTTCTTTCTATTCTAACACCTTGAAGGGTAGTATCAGATGGCTTATTTTATATCTTTATTTTTTTAATGTAGGCACAGAATGATATAAACTTTACTTTTAGAACTGCCTTCATGCTATCCCATAGATTTTAATGTCATATCTCTGTTCTCATTTGTTTCTCAGAATTTTTAAAATTTACCCTCTGATTTCTTCTATGATCCATTTATTATCCAGAAGTTTCTTATTTAATCTTCAGTTGTTAACAATGTTTTCTATTTTTTTTAACTTGTTTTTGATTCCTAATCCAATCCCACTATTACCTTATAGATTCAAGGAATTATCTCTTTTTTTTGTATTAGCTAAGACTTGCTTTGTGTCCTAAAGTATGCTCTGTTTAAGAGAAAGCTCCATAAGCAACTGAGAAAGAAGTGAATTCAGTTGTTGATGAAGTATTCAAAAGATGTCTGTTCAGTTCTTTTGATTAATGGTTTTAAAAAGATACTTGTTTTAAAATTATTTTTAATTGTTCTGGAGAATCTTAGGTTTTCTCTGAATGACCTATCCAATAGTGAGAGGGGTGTGTTAAAATTTTCCAGTATTATTGTCCTCGGGCCTATTTGATTCTTTACATTTTGTAGGATTTGTTTTATGGCTGAGGTTCACCAATGTTTGGGGCATGAACATTCACTCTCATTACTTCTTGTTCGATGACTCCTTCAACCATTATGAGTTGACCTTCTTGATGTCTTCTGAATAATTTTAGCTTGACTTCTTCTTTGTCTGACATGAGAGAGTACCTACTCCTGCTCACTGTTGGCCTCCATTTGTCTATAGAGTGTCTTATCAACAACATATCATTGGGTCTTCTTTTGTAATCCACTACGTCAGTCTATATGTCAGTCTTGTGATGGGAGAGTTTCAACCATCCATATTCAGTGTTACTAAAGAGAGATAATTTTTTATTTCCTGCAATTCTGTTTTATTATTATGATTGAGAGTGACTGTCCCTTGACTATTCTTCTAGCAACATTCATCCACATGCTGACTCTGGTATTTATTTTTAATTTCTATTGCATATTGGACTTTACTGAGTTGGCTTTGTAGTACGGGATTAATGGTTATGAATTCTTTTTATTTCTGCTTATCATGGAAGGATGTATTTCACCTTCAATTATGAAGTCTAGTTTTTTGCAGGATATAGTAATATTGATTGGCACCTGTTATCTTTTAGGGGTTGGTATGTATTATTCCAAGTCCTCCTGGCTTTTAATGTCAGGCTGAGAGATCTGAAGAAAGCCTCATTAGCTTACCTCTAAATGTGACACACAATTTTTCTTTTGTGGCTCTTAAAATCCCTCCTCACGGGCTTCTTCATATTGTCTTTGACTGTTGGGCTGTGAATGCAGGCCCTCTGTGGGCAGGCTGTGGTGCAGAAGCCTCCACCCTGGCTGATGTCCATCCTGGGGTACCATCCCCATGGCAGGGTTGCAGTCGGCCCACCTTCTTCTGAGCTCCCACAGCTGGCAGCCATACATCTCTGAGCTCCCACGCCCCTCTGCTGCGGCTTCTCTGTTGTGGTGCTAAGTGTTTGTTGGTTGTCTGTAACTGGGGGTCCTGTGGATGCAGGCTCTGTGGGCATGGTCTCTGACCCAGAAGCCTCACCCTTGCTCCCGCACACCACCAGGGTTGGCCCATCACTGACAGGGGTGGGATCTGAGCTCTTGTAGATGATGTGGGAGCACTAGATGGGGGTTAGCAGCCTTTTAGAGTGATTAGCTCAGCTCAGCTCCACCCCACTCCCCTTTCCTGAGGTGAGGGGAGGGGGTTTCTGTAACCTTCACAAAAATCCCTATACATGTTTCTTCGAGATCAATTCCTGAGACAACCCACTTCAGAGATGTTCCCTTTGGTTTTATTTGCTGCTATCAGAAGATGGAGAGAAGCTGTGTTCATTTAATTTTTTCTAGGGGGACTGGCTATAGACTGTACCAAGTGGCTGCCCTGCTCAGCATGGCTCTCCGCCTGTATATTGGGTTCAGCTGCTTGACCTCCTTCACAGTCTTTGCTGCTCCTCCCACTTTAACTTACTCTGCATCTCTTTCTAGCTGTTGTTGAGGAAGTGAGCTGCGGGCTTTTTCCTTTTAATCTTTCTCTCTCCCCACGCCCCCCCTCCCCCAGTTCCTCTACTCTACCCTGGTCCGCGTTTGGGGTCAAGAAATTCTGTCCTTATTTTCTACTCCTGTGGTCTAATTTCAAATCCCTCTAAGTTCTTACCTGCTCAACACTGAGTTCTAGAAGTCCCCTCTGGGCCCTTTTGTTGCTTTGCTTCTGGGCTGTGAAGAGTCCAGGGTGGCTTCCTGTACCTGCTCTGCCATCTTCCGGCTGCCCTGGGTCTCTTGTCATCTCATGGTGGCTCCCTCCTCTGTGCTTCCACTTGTGCTTCCTCTGGTCCTGGCTCAAGGGGCTGCAGGTCTGGAACCTGTGACATCACAATACACGTGCCCACCCCCACTGTAGCTTAATGCCATTGAGAGCATCTGATTGGCCCCTGGACACCCAATAGCTTGACAGGTTTTGTTGCATATGTTCACCTTGGACACCAGAGAACATGGCCTTCCTGGAGAACAGCAGGTTGGGAGGCCTCCTATGAACTTTAATTTGGGGAGAGCCATTGAAACAAGGAGGTATGTGACATTTAGGACTTCCTACAGACCCAGGGACAAGTTTTATTAGATATGTGAAAACAGATCCAGTCAGGAAAGTGGAATTAAGCAGCACACAGACAATGTACCCTGGGTGCTGTTGTAACAGTATTTTTTCCCTCAGCCTCTCTGATCAAATAAGGGTGCCATCTACTTTTCAAACTGGAGCACTGTCTGGTGGCTTTTTCCAAAAGCAACTTATTTTAAGTTGGGGTCATGAAACCTACACGACAAGCCAAATGCCAATAGCTGCTTGGCAGTTTTGGTAAAGCTACAGGGAGTGTCTCTCAGGACAGTAACTATGCTACTACTCTCGGGTGGGAGAGCTAATAGCATCGCAGCTAGAAATCACCTATCTGAGTGTGGTTTGCTCTGCACAAATAACAAGACCCAAGAAACCCCAGAAAATGTTCATTGTTATTTCCTGTATGTGTATTTTATTCTTATTTATTGCTGCTACAATGTTGGATTGTTCTGAATGCTGATGAAAGTCCTGGTGAGTTCTTGAGTAAGCTCAGTTTCCCAAGATTGCACCCACTTTCTCCCTTGGCTGTTCTCTACGGTGAATGAAGTTTTAATTTTTTCTGCATGTGTGCTCGTGATATTGGAATCCATTTTTCCCATTCAGTGTTTTCTACTGATATTTACTGAAAAATTGTTTTGTCTACATAAAATCCACTTCTAAGTTGCCCACATTCCCTGGGTGGAAATTCCTTCAAAATTTATGTTTTTTGTTATTATTGCTGCCCAATTCACTCTGCCTCCAAGTAGTGGGTGGGAATTGATGTGGGTGCCAATTATTTCACAGTGCACCTTGCTTTTTAGTCACTGGTAGGCTATGAGCCACTCTACTGGCATTTGTTCTCATAATGACTCCTACAGAGGACAGACTCCATCTCCAAGCACATTTTGGGTATTTGTCTCTGTGTTACAGCACTCACTGCTGCTGATATATTTCTATTAGTTATGTGATTCCATAATTTCTCAGCACTAGTTGGCCACTGTTTCAAATCCAGCTCTGTTTTCTTATATATGATATACAGAACGTTGTAGTTGGATCTGCACCGTTATGTATTTTTCCTACAAAACTATTTTAAAAATAATTTCCCTTGCATTCATGATGTAAAAGTAGTTGTTTTCTCCCATAAATATTTTCTTAAGGAAATAGAAGCATGTTTTATGCTCTGTTATGTCTTATAGAGTCAGAAATAAACTCCTCAATTTATCTGAAAGGTATACTGAATGTGTGAAAGGAAACTCATGTTTAGAAAGCTCTGTACTTTTGTAAACTATCTCAGCTTAACTTCCAATAAGGTTGACGGATACGATGTAAAACACCAAGTTAAATTTGAATTTCAGATCAGCACCTACACTAAAATTAAGTGATGATTTGAAATTCAGGATGAACTGGGCGTCTTGTGTTTTATTTGCTCAGTGTAGCCCCCTATCCTTCGATGATCCTGTGTCGACTCAAACCTGGGTGGCTTTCTCTTGCCCCCCTCAAATCTGTAGCCAAAGAAAAGGATGACTCTGGAATGTAAAAATCTTGAAATACCCTCCAACACAGAGATGGGAAGGCTTAGCATTTAAAGTCCTGTTGGGTATCTGAGAACAGAACAGAATGAAGGCTGTTTTCAGTTTATTCTGAATCAGATTATTAGTGTCGGGTTGGAGTCAGACTGGAATGAATCCAGGTCATCATTTACTCCAGTGTGGTTTCCCAGATGGAGAGAACAGATCTCAGCCCTGTTAACAGCAGGGCCTAGACTTCTAGGGCCACCTTAGGGGGTTACTTCACATAACTGGTGAGTGTTTTTCAATTATGACTCATGTAAGATGTGCAAGATGGCATTTGGGTGACAGGCAGACTGGAAAGAGCCATATCGGCGGAGGCTCTGCAGAGTCAAGGGTGGGAGGGAAGGAGGGAGTGGAGATTCAGGGAGGCTCCTTTGGGAGCAGCCTAGGCATTTTCTCTGGCTCCTAGATGCTGGTGGAAGCCTTCTCAAGCTCTCCACTCGTGTTACCATTTTTCCTGACATTAACTTAGAGGAGACCCTGGGAACAGGTTTCTCTTGCACACGTGCCTTCTCTGTAAAAGGAAACCAAAGGCCAATTTCTGCCACAGACACATCCATCAGCCATTGGGACATCGTTTTGATAGATCTTCTTTTTAATATGAACAGAAAATGTCACTCTTCTCTTGCTAATCTCATTTTGGCTTCACATTTCTCATGCCTATGCAACACGGCTTTCTAATTCCACACCACCCCACATTAAGAATATCCTTTGAGCTAAACTCTTACAGCCCATGATCCATAAGCAAATAGGAAGTCGTGAACCAGGAGAGCTAATGTTTAAAGCAAGAGGAGAATCTGTGTGGACTATAACTATCTTCATATTTATTAATTGTCTGAATGCAAGCTTTTGCAAGTCTTCTCAAAGATAGGCCTAGCTGGAGAGTGAATCATGCCACACCCATGAGCTCACCCCAGGCTACCAAGAGACCATGTTGCTGTTAAACACTGGGCACCGAGCAGCTCTCTTGGAGTGCGGAAAGGGATGTAGGAAAGGCGCATTCAGGGTCTCCAGAGCATTCTAAGCTGATGAAATTCTTTTTTTTTTTTTTTTTGAAAATAGATGAAAACCAGGGACGGTGTTGGTGACCTAGAGTCTGATCCATGCATTTTTGAAAACACTTGAGATTTGGAACTATTTTCCAGCACATCCCCTGCTGATGTGATTATTAGGAGTATCTCTTCTCACTGATCTTGATAGAGGGCTGTAGTCTCCAGGGACACGGGATCCCATCATCAGTGGATTTGTTACAAACCCCGACTCCTTCTGTTTTGAAAGCTGGAAACAGAGCTGTGCTTTCTGCCTTGGCATTTGCTTCACTCTGCTGAGCCCAAGCCCTGAGGTACTCTGTGGAGAAGCAGTCTGCACTGCTGAGAAGCAGAGGAGCCACTGGTCTGTCTTTCCAGAGGAGACGGCGCTGGAATTTAAATTAAAAATATTCCTTTCACTTCTCCCCGGTTTCAGGAGCAGACAGCAGCTTCCAAAGAGAATGACTTTTGGAAGTTTTTCTCAAATGTTCTCCACGTTCTGTGTTCAAAGTCGATGAAAGTGCCTCGTGTTTGTCAGTGTACCCAAATTTCCACTTAAGATGTGCTATACATACAGCAGCCAGGGAGAGACATGTGCATGTTTAAAGGCAGACACTGGATGTTTCAAAATTATCTTTTTACAAATAAAGCCAAATTATGCTGAATAACCTGAAGGAATTTGGAAGGAAATCAAAGACAAACCTTTTGAGGACCTTTGACTTTCACTTTTGAGTTTTGGGGGCAGGAATGTGAAGAAAAACCTGGGTGAGTGATTTCAGGGGCCTTGGAGCTTGTCTCCATGGGGGCCTCGTCTCTGCCCTAGGACTGGGAGATGCACCTTCAGAATCCAAGACACAGGGTGGTGATCAGGCCACCTGGAGTAATCCTGGCCTCAGTGACTGGGATCAGGATGTAGTCTGCTTTAGTCATCTATTTTGTTGCCATGACTCTAAGATCTGACCAGGACAACTGTAGAGGAGCAGAAGTTTATTTGAGGGCTCACAGTTTCAGAGGTCTCAGTTCATAGATGGCTGACTCGATTCCTCAGGGCTTGAGGTGAGGCTGAACATCATGGTGGGAGAGGGGGTGGAGGAAAGCAGCTCCTGTCATGGTGACCAGGAGGCAGAGAGAATCTCCACTCTCCAGATACAAATATGTACCCAAAGCCGTGCCTGGATTCTCACCACCTCCAACCACACCCCACCACTTCAGTTACCACTCAGTGAATCCCTATCAGAGGATTAAATCACTGATTGAGTTGAGAGTCTTACATCCCAATCAGTTCTCCTCTGAACCTTCTTGTGTTGTCTCACACATGAGCTTTTGGGGGACACCTCACATCCAAGCTATAGCATAATCTCTTCCTCAGGAGGTCACTCACTCTTGGAGCAAGGTGTGTGAAGAAAGAAAGTGAGACTTTCTCTTTACCTGTCAGGTGCTTGGTTCAAGGATCTGAGTCAGGAATTCAGCCCATGCACACACACACAAAAGCAACCATCTTACCTGGATGGCCAAGTAGAGAAAGCTGAGAATGGACCTCATTGTGACAGCACATCACAAAGCACGTGGCTTTCTAGTTCTACCAATTGACTTTTCCCTCTGTCTTCAGATGTCATCTCATATTCCTCCTGCCACATTTCCTGCCCTTGGAGGGATGACTCCATTAATTACGCACCAACTACTGGAAACCTTGGTCGTGCTGAAATTGGAGATCAAGCTTCAAAATCAGAGAGAAGACAGCGTGTTGATCTTTCTCCAGGAAGAGAAGAGGATGATTCTGAGATTCTGAGAAGCTCTAAAAATTAATTCCATATCACAGCTGAGCCAGGGAAGTGGCTGTGATCTGGGATGATGGATGAGAATCACCTGAGTCTGTATTCAGCACCATCATCTGGAGTGATCATGGGGGCAACAGTTTTCCAGAAAATCATTCAAGTGTGTGTACTTTAAAAGTACATTCTTTTATTTTAGAAGTTGTTTACATTTACAAAACAATTTCAAACGGGTGTTGACAGATCCTAAACACCCCTTCTCTCAGCTGTGACAGTATTTCAGATCTTCTCTGTTCTTGATGGCCTCCAAAGCTTTAGGAGCACTGGTTGTGTGCTTGGTAAACTGTCCAGGACTGGTTGTGTCCAGTCTCACATCTAGTAGGTTTCATATGA